TATTATTATTATTATTATTATTATTATTATTAAACAACAACAAAAAAAAATTCAGGAAACGTAGCACATCATATGTGACCCAAATTTGCGGCCTTGTAGTTGTGCTATTAAAGTGGGATTTGTACTAACAGTCATCACGTAGGTTCCTCTAAACTTTAGGTGCCTTTCAACGAATAACTGACCGGAGTCGGCTGAAATATCTGCTTTCCAAAGAAAAACTTCGGTTTCGTGTTTTGATTTTTCTCTCTGGTGAAGAGGGTAATACAGAGCAGGATTTGTGATCAGCCAAACTGAAAGGCGATTAATCCTCGATTATCTTTTGGCACTGGCGGCTATCGGTAGAGTCATGCAAGCTCATTACAATGAATAGAAAAAAAATGCTATCTTTACCGATTTTGCTGTTGTTGTTTTTAGGAAAAAAGTTTTAGCGGAGGCGTGTTCTGCCGCACTCGGTAATGACTGTCGCATTTTGTAATAAATCTGGTATAGACATAGTCTGATGTTACACTGGTTTGAAGATTTAATGAATGTAACCGAAGAAGTTACAATTCATAGACCCAACGTTTCGACACTCCTGTCTAGTGCCTTCATCAGGGGTGATCTAAACGCTGCAACAAGAGGTCCTTTTATATGATCACTAATTAGCGGCCTTTTTTCTGACGAGGTGTAAGTAAGCGTCAGGAAGCAGACCGCCATCGTCACGATTTAAAGGAGCGTGGGCGGAGTTTCTGTGCCAAGCCTCCAAGCAAAGGCGCTGGTGGTAACGCCGATTAGTAGTGATAATTTTAGAATTATCCCACCCAATTGTATGGTTGGTTAGGCAAGTATGCTCCGATAAAGCTGAATTTTCCTTTTTGCAAAGAAAAACCGCTTTTTGGTGCTCTTTTAAACGTGTACCAAACTGGCGTTTGGTCTGTCCGATGTATTCGTTGTCACAGTCATTGTAAGGAATAGAATAAATGGCGTCGGTTCGTTGTTCTTTCGTGACAGGATCCTTAGGTTAGGCGAAAATATGCCCCAAAGTCTGAAAAGGTTTTTGAGCAACTTTAACGTTGTGGCTATTCAAAATTCTCTTGATGGGTTCAGTAACACCCTGTATGTAAGGAATAACAGCAAAACCAGTCGCTGGTTCCCTTTCATCAAGAGCGTTACTATTTGTAACTGGTTTTTGGCAGTTACGGAGAAAAGTTTTTGTATAGCCATTTGCCTTTAGGACATTGGAAACATATTTCCTCTCCTCAGCCTTCGAATCGAGTGATGATGGTAGACAGTCAGCCCTCCTAAGTAAAGTTTTGGCTACAGACTTCTTATGGCAAATAGGATGGTGAGAATCGAAAGCGAGGTATTTGTCGGTGTGGGTGGGTTTACCCCTGATGAAGGCACTAGACAGGAGTGTCGAAACGTTGGGTCTATGAATTGTAACTTCTTCGGTTACATTCATTAAATCTGCAAACCAGTGTAGCATCAAACTATGTCTGATTGTCCACCTGGTTGCCGTGTGAACTTTAATATATTAAATCTGGTATAGTACTCACAGCATCCATAAGAGTCGCCGCTAAATTTTTTCCTCAGTAATTGTTACTTATGGCCTTCTTTTCTACTAGAAATAAGCCTGACACATACTATCACGGCCTTAATAGAGTTTACTATCTTAATTCACGTCTCATACACAAGAGTGGGTGTGCAGCTCGAACTAGGAGCCTGAGTGTCTAATGCCGTCCGACAAATGTACAGAAAACAGTAAACAACTAGTTACAACTGAATCAACTCTCGGGCTTAAACATTTTGTGTGCCACCGCATGATACGATAACCCAAAAAACCCAGTGAGGTTCATCCAAATGCAGGTGCACCAACCATAAGGTGAGAAGTAAAACAGGCTAAGTTACATGCAAGTGAAAATTTAGCGTAAAGCTTGAAAAGTTCGAGATATGAGATGTATGCATTACAAATATCAGACCTGATATACGCCCTACAATAAAAGACGCAATTAACGTCATAGCAGCTCACGTGGTTACATACCGATTGGAAAATATTTACATTCTCCGTCACTGCCACTTACAGTTTAGTTCTGCTGAATGTAAATACATTACTACCTACCTTCTTTGCTGTTGTCTTCTATGTACGAAGAGGTGAATAATGGCTCATGTGCTGTCCCTGCCCTGAAAACGACGAGGTTCCTTCTCGTTACATATGCCATCATAGCTCGCTGGTGCACACTAGAAAAGAAAACTTGAAAATCAGCTGAGCTTAATATGTTTTGATGCCACAAATTAGGTGTTCACTGGTGTAAGCTTTCCAAAAGGTTGTACTCCCCCCCCATGTGTGGCCTTATCCTCCTCCCAAAGAGAAGGGACCTTTAGCAGTTGGGACGGCAACGCCGTAGACGTCCCTTCCGTTCCGTTACTCCTTGGAGGGGGGGGGGGTTAATGTTCTATGTAAGCATTAGGAACTCTATAATGTAAGCGAAAAGGACTATGGGAAATGAGAGTGAACCGGCCATGTTGTTGTAAGAAGCGTGCTTTGGTTGAAGTTGTGTTCAGAGTCAATCATATTGTTTTGTTGATCATCTGACCCCAAACAGCACAGGGAGAGAATACGGCTACACGTAGGCTAATAAGTACCTATTTGTGAATGCAATTTACAATATTAACAGTTTATCTTCAGTAAATAGTGTTCTACCTGAACTTTATAAACAGTCGTTTCTTTTAATTACCTGGAAAATAACTCTGGTGGCCCTTTAAAACTGTTCCTGAAAAAAAATTCAATTAAAAACATTAAATTTCGTGAATTCCTCGCGTTGTGCTCAACCAGTAATCGATGAAGTAATTCACCGAGCGCCAACTCGTTGTTCGCTATTGTGCCTTTAGGTTAACATGAAAATTCAATAGTAGAAAAAAAGGTTAGAATTCAGACTTCAATGTGCCTTCGGTAAGCGAATACTTTTAATTATTTGTGTGAAGATACAAAATCTAAGAAATGTTTCGCTTTAAAGTGGATAATATAAAGGATAATAAAGGACGCGATCATAACTTTAATCGTTTTCAGTCATCGACACGACTTATTCATGCTGCAGTTTTGAATTTCCACGGCAAGAATATCATAATTTCCAACTGATCATTCGAGGCCGACGGTAATGCAGTGGTGGAAAGAAAATTTTCCTGATGATCTGCCATCTACTTTGTGTTTATGTACGGCACTCTTTAATTTCGTGCAAACAAACGTTGAGCTACAGGACTGATAATTTTCATTCCCAAACCTTGCTAAATTGTACCAAAATTTCAGGACAATAGACTGGCTTGTGATCCTGAGCATGTTGGTTTAGCCTTCTGCTCGGTGAACGAACCTTTCACTTTCACTAGTAATCTAGAACAAAGAAGAAAAGAGATGCTAAAGCAAAAATGCTGAAAAAAATAATTGTAATCGATTTTTTTCTGGCATATATGATCTTTTGCGATTTGCAAAGACATTTTTCCCACAGAGAGGATTTAAATCTTTAAAGGTTAGTACTTGAAGTATGCTCAGCAGATCTCACCCATGAAAATAGAGGGTCAACGTATTTATTTTCCATATAAACTACGATTATTCCTAAAGTTTCTTAAAACTCCCGCAATCTGATTTGACAGAGTCACCTTAAAAAAAAGAATCAACTATTTTGAAAGGTAACTGTGAGCGGGATGTAGCCGGTCGGAACTTATAAAAACAATTAAGAATTTGTCCATGCTTAGCGTGCGTATATCGAGTTACGGATGCACGCGGGAAGTTTGGAGAGCACGATAGAAAAGTACGATCGCGTCGCTCGAGGCGCCGCCGAAAGCAACTCTAGCTTTTTGAGTGCTATTCAAACTTCTCAACTTCTCGCACAGCTAAAGCATGAACCATGCTTTAAAAGACGAAAATAAATAATTACAAATTTCCTGAATTTACGAGGTCCTTGTGGTAGATGCACCCTGCTTGAATTGTTGTTTACTAGAATTATGTCCAGAAAATTTGCATTGCTTTGTGTTGAAAATTCTGAAAATTGTACGATTTCAAAACAAAACCACCTATTGAACATAAGGCGGTCCACAAGAGAAAGTCAAATTAAAATCAGTTTTCTCACAATGAAACGGAATAACTTAGGGAAAGAAAATTAACTCACGGTAGAGAAAAATCAACTCACGGCAAAATGAAATAACTTGCGGAAAAATGAAAGAACTCGCGGCAATATGAAATGGGATTTAAAATTAATTTGTTCTCAGCCGGGAGAAATGCCAACACCAAAGCTACTGAGTACGTAACTTTCGGTTTTTCTTTTTGTATATTGGTTTTTTCCACTTCTAGCGGAAGTTTGAACCTCACTATCTGTCAGCGATACGGATTCTTTTAGTTTTAGCCGCTATAATTCGAGAAAGTTCC